TGTACAAAAAAAATTGGAACATCGAAGATTGACGGATGTCAGTCGTTTCCATTATACCACATCGAAAATGACGGTTGATTTGTAATTAAATTTGGAAATCAATGAAACGTCTAAACTTAATTACTACACTTTATATTAGCAAAATTGGTTGGAAATCAAGTGGACCTCAAAGCTGTCTGATAGCGTCGTAATGTCTAGTTAATCCTCGGGGTACAGTATCGAAAGCGGCCAATAATGCGACAGGGCAACACACATACTTAAAAGATCGTACATGTCAGACCTCTCAGTTTTGTTTTCATGCGGTGACATCCTCATTTTGAGATTTGTGTCTTTTTCTGCGACAGATACTGCGGTGGACTCTTGCGGGAGTGCAACCGACATACTCTTGGTCTAAACCTCTTTAATGTATATTAGTAAGGTCATCTTGTGTGACGTTGTTACCTCTAATACTAGTCATCTTTACCGGTACCGTACCCGAAAATTTTGATTTTAGACGTTTGTAATGTGCGAATACCCCGGTAATTATCTATTAAGATTTTGTGTAGTTATCGTCATATTTATGTCTTTACCTGTCTGGTATGTCCGTTACCGATGAATAAAATGTATATAATAACGTATGACAACTATACAAAACTGTCGAAAAGGATGAAAATGAACTCATTGTTAAAACCTTATGTCCTCTGTACACTAAGCTCATAAAATGTGATGACCAGAAGTGAAAACGGTGGAGACATATGATGCTTCTTCACTCTCTTCTTTGGAGTCCCGGTCCACACACGACACTCCAAGCCGGCACCCGAGGAACAAACAAAAAGGCATTTCACTCGCACACACACACTCACCACATACCCTAGCGGACTCCGTCTCCGTACAGAAAACTCGTATCACCAGGCTTCAGGTAGGTACCCTTGCTCCCACACAAACACACAACACACCACACACACACACACACACACAACACACAACACGACACACACACCACACACACACACACACACACACACACACACACACACACACACACACCACACACCACACACACACCCACACACACACACACACACACACACACAACACACACACATCACACACACACACACACACACACAACACACACACACACACACACACACACACACACACACAACACAGTTCCGGTCGCCGTGCGTCCAACGACTGTAATGACGGGCAGCGCAGTACCCGTCGTCGTCGGACTGTCTAGCGCACCTCACGTGCGGGTATGAAGGAGTGTGTGTGTGTTAGGTGCGGAGTGAGGGGGGGTGTTGTAGTGGAGCGAGGGACGTCCCGTTGTCTTCCGATTACGTGAGGTTGGAGAGGTCGTTCCCCCCGGACCCCCCTCTCTCTCTCCTTCGTTCGTTTATACACACAGAATATTGACTCGACACATTTATATATCTATCATACTCTTACCTCGGTGACGACTCGATATGTCATAGTGTTCTCGGATGTACTCCCTACTCTTACCGTGTCAATTCTTGTCTGTATTCTCTCTTATGTAATAGTTAGGGATTCCGGATTATGCGTCGAGAGTGTCGGAAAGGGTTGAGTCAATTTGTGTGTTCGGGGTACGTGTAGGTTTTGTTTGTTCGTTTGTGTGTGATAGGGAGGAGACCATGACGGGGTTGTCCCGAAGTCGACTGCGTGCGTTCACGACTTTGATGGTGTCTCCTAAGTTGGGACTGCGTCGTTTTCTTTGAGTCCATTTTCATGCATATAGAGACGCCCCGGGTTAATGTGGTGTTCGCTGGACCCCGCCTGTTTTTTTTGTGTGTTGGTCTTACTTTCTTCTTTTTTGATGTCCTCTTTGTTCTTTTTGTTTGCGAGGCCACAGGTCCTTTGTGATGCCGGGTCATCTGCGTCCGGAGACGATTTCGCTCCTGTTTTGGGATAGATCGGTTTGGTGATAGATTGATGTCATCTACCGATAATTTGGGAAAACCGCTTTCTTTGTTTTTGTAATAGGTTGCCAGCTGGTCTCAACCCACATTGCGCAATGACATTATTATAGATGCATAAACAGGCATTGCCCTCATCACATTGGAAGCACTTCCTAAACAGTCAAAGTCAATACTAACTCCACTGTTGACCTGGTGAGAGTGCAGACCACCCTGTCTCCTCTGATAAAGTGACACACATGTCTTCAGCAGTTCCTGTTCACCTGCCAGTTAGGACCTTTACTGAGACACACACACTACTATCACACACACACTACTATCACACCCAGCGGTGCAGGCCTCTTCACAGGCGCTTTGAATGTCAATAAGAAGCTGCTGATGAAGCTTCAAGGTCATTTCGTCTTTCCTCATCAACAATGAAGAATGATGCCTAAAATCAGTGGAGTCACCATTTAAGCTTCTACCTGTTTGTTTTGACATATTGTCTATTCATACTTTTAATCTGTTGGAAAATATTTGGAAAGCTTTTATTGGTTGAATAAATAATTAAAGTTAAACGATTTATATATATATATATATAATAATACAAAAATAGTTTTGACTGTATATATATTTTATTGTTATCTCGTTTCAATATTGAAAATCGACCTTTCCTCATTTACCTTCAGCTTACCCTCACTCCATTAGCACACATTTCATATGAACTATCGAAAACCATATAAGAGTTTACTTTAATTTGTCTTTCAATTCTTAATTTTGGTCTTGTGTGCAGAAATAATCAGGCACAGTGGATATAATTGTAAATGTACTGTATCGCAAGTCTTTGGACAAGGTACGTGTCACTTATTGTTGCCGCTTTAAACTATATTACCGGTTACATTGGATATATTTAAGTAAGAACATGTGTCAATATAACAATACATTGGGTAATAAAATATCATTTAAGAAGTGAATCAGTGGGACAAAACTCAAGAATAACTGTTTTGGAGGTTTATATTAAAACAGTTTCTTGCTCGAAGGAAAATTGCAGCACAACCTGTTAGACCCCAAGCCTGTTTTTCAGGTCACAGGCTCGAAAATGACATTTCCAGAACAAATGACCATAACTACATTTCTAAAAGGGGAAAATTAATAATCTTTTTTCTCAAAGTAATGATAAACCTGTGAGTTGGATGTAGAAAAGTCAGAATCAATATAGATGTTTTTTATTTTAAAGAAAATTCAGATTGAACATAGTAAAAAAATGTAAATTATAGTGTCCGTCCAAAGATTCTTTTTTTACTTACAGTGAAAACTAACCTTGGATGATGGGTTAGTAGACTAAAAGCTTTAGGAATCCAAAGTACAACATATAATAAGTACCCTGTATCAAGATTGATGCAAAACAATTGACATTTGACCTTTTTAGAGAGATTTAGCTAAACAAAACCACTTCTGGGGTCATTTTGGTGGATTTTCCATATCTCCGGCCCCCCTTGGTCGATTTTGATGATTCACATCTCTTTCTAACCGTCAGAGTCAATGGAATCGAGGGAAAGTTCCCCATACGCACACAGGTTACTAAATAAGGAGTGATAGTGACGCGTAGAAAAACCGGAAGCTGCGCTAGCCTCTGGTGGCTACCATTAGCAGCTAATTTTTGTTCTCAGATTTTTGCATAAAAATTGAATTATGGGCTATCAATACTTTTTTCAAAGTGACAGACACATTGCTATAACCTTTGGATTAACCTTCAGCCGCTTTTTTTCTCGTTTTAATGCCATTGAACACGACTTTTGATCAGAATAACAGCTAAGGTGAGCATATCTCTGTGTTTTGCTACCTAAAGCTACTCGCGTGTTGTCTGTCTTTGCTTCCCCTGTCACGAGTTCTGATCGCTAAGTGATGATCCTTATACTTCTATAATCTGTGGAATCTCAGGATGTTAGCTAAGCTTGTTTGTGCAGACCCAATAAGTATATTGATCGGTATAGCTAGAGTTCTGTGCTAACGATGAAAAGTGAAATGGACGAACAACGTGGGACCAACCATTCGATTGCGTTAAAGCAACAGAGTCAATGGACATTTAGACACGTTTGTATGTGTTCGAATCTGGAATGAGCTTTCAACGGTAGGTAGTGTGAGATTCATGTCAACTAGTGTATATAGCAGCTCCCATTAAAGGGGTGAATTCATTATAGCACTGTAATTGCTAATTTGTGTACAACACGTAAGAAATATTACGTTTGAATCAGTTCTCGGCTGAGGCCTCCACCGCCATACGTGGAATTTCAACAAACGTTAGGCGCGGCCCAAGAAGTTTCGGATCATTTAGTTGTATTCCCCCTCCGTTCTCCCACTCCCCCTCCCACCTTCGGTTGTACACGAATCAGTGACAGACTCGGGGTGTCCGGGACTACGACTGTTCGATTGTGTGTGTGTAAGTATGCAAACGTATATGAACGGTAAAAACTTACTACTGGAGAATTTTGGGTGCCGGTGACGCTTCCCCGGCTTTAGTGTTGTAGACGTTCGTTTTCACAGACTCCCGAAGAATTAATAATTATTTGATACTATACAAAGTATACGACAAAAAAAAAATTTTTCGGAGACTTTAATCTCTGCCCGTTTGT